CCCATTCCTTTGGCGCAGTCCCCTCCCGTCCCGGCGCGTTCTCCGCGATCGCGGGTCCCCAGCGCCCGCCGCAGTCGCCAGCTGTCCCCGCCCTGACCGCTGACCCAGACGTGTCCCCGGCGGCCGCTGGCAGTGCCTGTACCATGGGGCTCCCTACTCTGGAGTTCAGCGATTCCTACTTAGACAGTCCGGATTTCAGGGAGCGCCTGCAGTGTCACGAGATTGAGCTGGAGCGAACCAACAAGTTCATCAAAGAGCTCATTAAGGACGGCTCTCTGCTCATCGGGGCGTTGAGGAGTAAGTAGAGCTGGCGGGGGAGGGTGGAGAGGGAGCGGGGATCTGGAGTATCCCCGCGGGGAGCGGGTCTGGGGAGTGGGATGGAGGAGACGGAGCTTCTTTTGTTTGAATGGGTTTGGGGACTAAGTTGAAGAGCTCCCCTGCTGGTGGCCAACAAAGTTTGTTCTTGGGTGTTCGTAGTTACTTCTCTACTGGACGCTGGAATGTATCCTGACAAAAGGTGTAAAATGTCATCTTTTTGTATAACGTTCCTGGAAAAACGTTGGGGGCTTTTTTTTTTTTTGTAATTTTACTGTGTCTAGTTTGAACACTTAAAGGCCTTAAGGAAGGATTCAAAAGTTTGTCTTAATGATAAAACGAAGCTAATTTATTTAGAGATAGTCAAAGAATATAATTAATTTTTTGTGTGGATAGTTAATTTCTTATATCAGTGGCTCTTCATTGGATACCATCATTGAGGTTTTTTTTTTTTTTTCAAATATGCATTTGTAGTTTTGCCACTTGGTAAGATGATCGAAGACAGCTTGACATCAGTGGATTTTATCTCTTTACAAGTTTTTGTGCATCTTAATTTTTCATTTGCTTTGTAAATCTGGTATTGGTCAAGTCACTGAAGGTGAGAGTTCAGGGACTAAAGGCCAATCCGAAATTCTGATGATCCTCTGTAGAAAGTAAAGGGGCTTCTCCCACCTCCTGTCCACATACTTCTTGATCTGGATCTTCACTTTTAAATAATAAGACCTAAGGTGGACAGTAAAAGAAACTCCAGAGTTTTTCTTGTAGATAGATAATTGAGTGACTAAATGATAAAGCTTAACATGTTACCTCTCCCAGGATGTATTTGCTACTAACAGATTCTTCAGAATGCTTTTAGCCACTGAAAGAAGCCCTGGAATCTCTGGTCACATGGCTGGATGAGTCAAGTATTTTCATAGGGTGAAGAGGCCTTTGAGTGATCTAGCAATCCCCAGGACAAATGTAGGGGAAGCATTGTATATGTCAAGTGCAGGCTCAGTAACAACATGGTGGGGATGTGTGTGTGCCTGAAACAGACAACATTAGCATCTGCTGTGTATTTTGAACCATGTATTAATAATAGTAAGGATGGAGCTTAGCAAAATGTATTGAAATTAGTGTGCTCCCAAATCCTTTTTTATTTTAACCATCCCAAATGCTAGAACATTTATTTTTCTCTTATGTTACTTGACCAGGGTAAAGAAAATATGTTTTATGCTCACATTCACTTAATTTCTGTATTTGAGGCTACACTTATAGCAATATTTACTAATTTGTGAAAAATAGTTTATCTGCAATTATTTCTATCCTGTGTATACACAAATGTGAACTCTTCTTCTGATTTGCAAATCCTGCCTGACGTCTTAGAACTAGCCTCTTTGCCTCTTAAAGAGCAGGATGCCTCTTCAAAAAGTTTCCCCATCTCAGAGTGCTAAATGCTGAGCCTACTCTTGCTAGAGATGCCAGATTGTCTACAAATGACATTTCTCCTCACGCTGCTGAAGATCAATTTTAGCGTTTCAAAGGTTGAAAATACATAACTGGAATAAAAACTCTGAAATGTACATTATTTTACTAGTAATATTATATACTTTATTATGATTTTTTTAATCTAGCTTTGCAAAAATCAGGTGATTTCCATTCTTATAGGTTTGTTCTTTCATTCATAAATGGAGAAATCTTGAGAACATGTTTCTTGAATATATATATATATTTTTAAATGAATTATTGAATTTCATATTTACATCCACTTTGAGAAAACGGATGACAGTTAATTAAGTGGATTAACATACACTTGCATTTAGGTTCTGGTGCTGTTAAATGCTGTATGATTATTGGTAAGTAATTTAACCTCTCTGGGTCCTACTTTTCCTGTAAAATTAGAGAATATCTATAAAAATCTCACTACTAACATTGCTTGTTCATTTTGTTACAAGCCTTATAGATGTTTGGTGAGTGATAATCAAGGATATTTGATTCGGGTGAATCAGGTTTTAGTTTATGCCTTATGACTCAAAATCACCATTTTCATCAAATGTTATTCTATGAACTTTGTTCTTTAACAGGTGCTAGTCTTTTGAATTCAAAGAACCATTTTTAAGTAGAACTTTGTCTTTGCAAAAATGACGAACTACCCCTCCTCCCCCAAAAGAATATAAGAGAAAAAAGAAAAAAAAGAATAGATGGAAATTGAATTATACTCATTGAATTGAGTTGTTTGGGTGGAGAGAACTTATCAACATTCTTTCCTCCACCCTGCCCTGCAGCACATGGGCCATCTTTCCTTTCTTATCACTGTGTCTCTCTTTGGTCTCCTGATCTAAGGTAGACTAGTCAACTGTTTCCTCTGCCTTTAGGATAGTGTTTCTCAAACTTGTGTGTTCAGGCTCTTTTTATAGGAAACAATAATCTTAATGGACTCTAATATAGATTTAATTATTTATTATGGTAGTTAAATAAATATGTCCAAGCATGAAACTATAATTCTTATGTCTATTCATGCAATCTTAAAAGCAAATTGATTTACAAATTAAATATAAAGGATACTGTGAAACCAATAGAAAACTTTTCAACTATGTTTAATTAATCTAATGGATGATGATGTTTTGCTGAAACAAAATTTCCTGTCTGTAAAGACTGCTGATAATATCTTGTGTGTTGATGATTCATTTTCTCACTATTTTTTTCCAACTGAAACTGTAGTTCTTCAAAATCTCTTGCCCTGATGATGGCCTTCTTTCAATCACAAACTTTATTTATTTATTGGTCATATTGCCTCTGTTCTTAAAGCAGTAGTTCCTGGCACAAGTGATCCATAACACAAATAAGAAGGGAATGTAATTTGAGTGGTAGAAGTTGGTTGTTCATAAGTCGATGTAGAATATGCAGTTAATTAAGAGAATAGCAAGAGGGAAGCACATAGTTTCTTAAAGGTGTCTATCCTCAGTGGTCACAGACCCCATTTTGAAGTACACTGCCTTGGTGTTCCTGTGATCAGGAGATTAAACAGTCATTTATAGTAAAAGAAAACCATAAATGCAAAGGCTACATTGAAAAGTCTTGGAAAGGGTGAGGTGTTCCTGGAACCTGCCTTCTATTTGCTGTGTTTCACCAGCTTAACCTTTAGCCAGGTTTCATTTGTTTTTTTACTTTAAGCCGGTCATTATTTTGTGTGTATGTTCAGAGCCCACTTTGCTACCAGTTTTTGGTGGCACAAAGAAGGAGTTAAGTAAAAGGTAAGGAAAAAGACAAGAAATTTGAAAGCCTTTCTAGTTATTGCGCTGTTTACTTGATCATTCTTCAACTTTTATTGAGAACTAATTTTAGGCTATTTTTTGGTATTTAAATTTGCACCCAGATTTTATTTAAAATGGAACTCATAAATTCTCCTTTACCTGCAAAAGCTACACTGCTGCTTGTTCCACGGAGGGTCCTTTTGCTTGTTTAGCTGGGCAGCCTAATCAAAGTTGGATGTAGAATTGCTTTAACCATTTATTTGGTTCTTATAGTCTTTAGAATTTGAGTTAAATGAGTAGAAGTAACTGTATCTTTCAAATGAACTGTAATTAATTTTAGAAACTGGTAGATTAGGAATGTGGTGCTTTAAGGTTCTGCCTCAGGGACATGTACAAGTAAAAGCAGTTATGCTCGTGTTAATTTAAATGGGAACCTTGGCGCTCATCAAAGTGGAATTAAATTGGGCTGGCTGAGTACTTCCGTCTACCTTTCCTGATTCTCTGCAATAGCTTAATAGGTACCTTTTAACAATAAGAATCTTTATTTCTTTGGTTTTCCTTTTTCAGCAGGTAGTACTAATTGAGGGGCTGTCCTGTTAGAAGTCCAGGGAATTGGTTGCTGAGAGAACAGAAAATGTTTCCTGCCTAGTGGAGAAGAAGGGCTTACCAATAACCAACCAGCTTTTGCACTGCCTCCTATGACAGTTATGATCAAAGTACTCTGAAAGTACAAAAAACTTAGATAACTACTCAACTTTTAAGTCAATGAAAAGCTGCTTTAACCAACATCCTTGCAATTATAAACATTTCTTAGAGCACAATGTAAGTTGTGTTGATGATGCTTAAGCATTACTCAAATGACATAAGAAAAATGATAATAAAGCTTACATTCAGTATTGTTTTGGTGCCAAGTACAATTTTATTCAAGTAATGCATACATAGAAGGTGACAACTCTTTTCTCTAGATTTATAGAAAAATATTAGATTAAAAATTTCAGATTATTAAGCCACATTCAGTAAATATTATGCAACAATGAAATGTTTATTATGGACAGATGAGAAGGAGTGAAGGAAAGGCGGGTATTTAGTCTTGAATCTCTTTTATGAATATTGTTTCTTGCCATAGCTGATTGCCACCTGTTCTGGCCCAACCATCTCTGCTGGCTGGATGGTAATTTCTGCTCATTTCAGCCTTCTTGGCAGGTGCCGGCCTCCCAGTGTCCCCACCTGCCACCCACCAGTCTCAGCTCGCAGCTCCGCCAGTCTTCCTCTTCCTCTATGCAGCTGAACCTCTGCCCAGCACCTAATAATCCTTATAGTGTATCCGCACTGGATCTGGCCTCCTCCACCAAGGACTTGCTACCTGCTTTTTGCTGACTTTCATTCCAAAAATTCAAACCAGTTGCTGAGCACTTGGCTCTCTAGTGCATGGTGTCTGTGCTTCACTTTTTGCAGATGTCATATTCTGAGTTTAATGGCTAGGTTTTGTATAAGCGGAGTGACTTTCATAATATTTGTTAAGCTTAATGGCCCTTGAAGCAAAGGAAAAGGGGCAGGATGATAAAAAGAGAGTCACTAGAAATGTAGTTATTTTAACAGTTTTGTCTTTGGCCTGGATATTTCTGTTAATATGGATTTTTCGCTACAGGATTACATTTAACTGCAATGTTTCAGTTAATCAGAGTATGCCATCGTCCATATCTGCAGTATTCTGATATTATCATCAAGAATCCCGTTATAATGCTGAAG